TTTCTGAAGAAGGGTCCAGACCCGAAACGTCAGCTTTCCTGCTCCTCTGATGCTGCCTGGCCTGCTGTGTTCCTCCATCTCTACACTTTGTTATCCAGTTTTTATTTCCTCCCATCTCTCATGGACATTCCCTTTTGACTTTCCCTCCACCCCACCTCTTGCATCTTCCCTGCACCTGAACTTGTTTAAAGCCTGTTAGATATCTAACTTCTTCCAATTCTAATAAAAGTCATAGTGCTGAAGCATTAACTGTTTTTCGCTCAGCAGATGCTGAGCATTTCTGAAAGCTATGCATCCTTTTTGGCAGTTCTCAATCATGCCACTAGATGGAGCAGCGTGCGTGTTATTCCACCACAATAACTGGAAGTGACCCAACTTTATCCAGCATACGGTTGGTCTTCTGACAGCCAATCATGGAGTGACACTGAAGCTACATGCAGCATTCTGCAAGGCCAGCTGCTTCCAATCTATTAAATGGATGAAAATACAGTGAAGCAGGGTTTTAAACCTATGAGGGAATAATGCTCCATTTATGGATTGCTAAAATATCACAGTTTGAACTATCAAAAGTCATGGGAAGAAATTTAACTTGGCTGGAGATAAATTTTGAGCAGGAGGGAATTATAAAAGATTGTCTGCAGAGAGAATTTGAGAAGTTGTGTCAAAATTAAAATGTAGACTTTATGATGATAATCTCTAGTGTTACCCGATCACAAGCCAATTGACATAGGGCCATGTAGATTAGGATTTTAAATGAAAACCAAAAGAACTCAATTCTGAGGAAAGGTCATTTGACCCGAAACGTTAACTCTAATTTTTCTTCACAGATGTTGTCAGACCTGCTGAGCTTTTTCAGCAATCTCTATTTGTGTTTAGGTCTTCAAACGTGTGACTCAAAGTGCATTGTGAGAAGATTTGAATTTATGGGATACTGGGAACAATACTCAGGGAAGAGGAATCATTTCCTCTTAAACTAGGCTGGGACCAGTGTCTGGACAAATTGTGTAAGGACATTTATGGATAGGACTTTGGTGGGGGGAGTGCAGGGAGAATGGTCATCTGAAAGGAAATTTAAAAATCTCCAAGGAAAAGTTGAGAAAATAGACCAATATATCCAGGTGGAAAAGGTAGGTAGAGTGGAACAGGAAGGGAGAAAGAGTTTAATAGTAATAATGCATCAACATATAAGGCCCTTTTCTAAATTTAATCTGTTTTTCTAATCAACCTATTCAGAGATTTTATTACACACCTTTGGAGCAGGTGGAATTCGACTGGGCCTCCCAGTCTGGGGTAGCGACACTACCACTGGACCACAAGCGGGCCTAAAATATGGAGTGCTTCACAAATTTGCATGTCATCATTGCATAAGGGCCGTTCTAATCTTCTCTGTATCATTCCAATTCTAGTTTGTGTGCTGCCAAAGAAATATTTGGGGAAGAAAATTACATTAAATATATGCAGTTGTTCATTAGCTCAGCGAGCTGGTTATTCTGTGGTGTGCAGACTTTTCATTATCCTTCTAGGCCACATCATCAGTGCGACCTCTAATCGAAGAGTTGGTGTTCTGCTTCCTTCTGGATTTATATGATCCTGTGGTGTGATGGTCTTTTCGCTTCCGATTCTGTTGTTTTAGCACCAGTCTGTATACGGGGTCTATTTCTATGTGTTTGTTAATGGAGTCCTGTGTTCAGAACCAGGCTTCCAGAAATTCCCTTGCATGTCTGATGTTCGCTTGTCCCAGTATAGCCACCTTGTCCCAGTCAAACTGATAGCCCTCATTGTCTGTGGGTATTGAGACAAGTGAATATTGGCCGTGTCTTTTTACCACTGGCTGGGGTTCATGTAACCTGGTCATCAGTTTCCTCCCTGTTTGTCCAATGTAATGTTTATTGCACTCGCTGCATGATATTCTGTATATCACGTTGGTCTTGTTTATTGTCAGTACGGGGTCTTTAGTCTTTGATAACATTTGGCGTAGTGTTGTTGTAGGTTTGTGGGCAATTATGATCTTTTGCGTCTTAGGAGTCTGGTAGTCATTTCTGATATATTTTTGATGTAGGGTAGTGTTGCTAATGTCTTCTATTGTACCACGTCCTCTGACTTTCGTTCGTTTTGTAGGCATCTGCAGACGAAAGTTCTTGGGTATCCATTGTTGGTGTAAACTTTGTGTAAGTGTTCCTCTTCCATTCTTCGGGTGTTGCAGTGTGATGCAACTTGTTTAAATATGTCTTGATGCAGCTCTGTTTGTGTATGGTAGGGTGGTTGCTATGGAAGTTAAGGATTTGCTCCGTATGTGCGGCCTTCCTGTACACTCGTGTCCAGAATTCGCTGTTAGTCAGTCTCTCTATCATTACATCTAAGAACGGGAGCTGTTTGTTGTTTTCTTCCTCTCTAATGAATTTTATGTTTGCAAAGGTGTTGTTGATGAGTTGGTGGGTTTCTTCTACTTTTGTGCATTTGATGATTACAATTGTGTCGTCCACGTATCTTACCCATATTTTCAGTTGGATTATAGGAAGGACTGTGTGTTCCAATCTCTGCATCATTGCTTCCACGATGAAACTGAAGATGGGTGATCTCATCGGTGTGCCGTTGATCTGTTTGTATATCTGTACATTGAATGTAAAGTGCGTTGTGAGGCATAAATGTTTCAGTCAGCTGTCCTTGCTGATGTTGTTGCTAGTGTTCGGGGTCGGTGCTCCTGGTCTGTCTAGTCGTGTGGCTAGTGTCTCTCTGGCTAACAGTGTGTCAATGGACGTAGATAGTGCTGTAATGTCGAAGGTGATCATGATTTCATCCTCTTCAATTTTTGTGCCCTTGAGCTGTGTGAGAAATTCCTCGGCCAAATGGATTGAGTGTGGGGATCCGCTAATCAGGTGCTTGTGTCTACATTGTAATTCTCTCGCAACTTGTGTGTAGGTGTGCCAGGTAAGGAGACTATTGATCTGAGTGGTATCTTGGGGAGTCCGTAGAATTTCTGGAAGCCTGGGATTCCATTAACAAGCACATAGAAATAGACCCTGTATACAGACTGCTGCTAAAACAACAGAACTGGAAGCAACAAGACCATCACACCAGAGGACCATATAAATTCGGAAGGAAGCAGAACACCAATGTTTCGATTAGAGCTCGCACTAATGATGTTGCCTAGAAAGTTAACAAAACGTCTGCACATCACAGAATAGCCAGCTCGGTGAGCTGACAAACAACTGCATCCACAACCCGAGCTACAAATTTTCACTAAGACCTTAAAAAAAAATACATTAAAGCTTCTTTACCTGAATTCACAAAACATCTGCAAGAAAATACATGAACTAATGACAAATATAGAGGTAAGTAGTTTAAATCTAATTGCTACTTCAGCAACAAAGTAACAGGTTTGTAACTAAGTTTGCAAAATAATTATTCCAGACATAGCACAATTTGATAAAAAGGCAGAATTACAAAGTAGGAAGGTAGTCCACAACAAATAATGTGATTGAGGATATCAGTGAGAAAGATTCAGAAGGTTAGGAAGTAGAATAAGCATAGGTGGAGATTAACAATAGCAAGGGTCAGAAACTGCTGGTGGTTTTCTAACTGTTGTTATGCTGGGCAAAGCTTCAAACAGAAATGATTAGAGATTGTAACAAAGGCAATTTAATAATGATTTAGTTAATTATCATGTACACAGCAGAAGTCAAATTGGCAAGAGGGATCTGGAACTTGAACTTGTAGAATAACTTTGTGATAGTTTCCTGGAACAATGCATTGTGGAACCAACTTGGGATAAAGCTAATTTAGATGTGATAATGTGTAATGAGGCAGGATTAATTAGTCACCTGAAAGTTAAAAAAGCTGCTACGAAATAAGATCATAGGAAATTGATGTGATAGTAGACTATTCAACACCGTGATCCTGTACCGAGATTGAATTAGATTGTAGTCTTTTGTCCTGCCTGCCCTCCCTCCTCCCATAACATATTGCTTCATTGAAATCAAATATCTGTCTAACTCAGTCATTAATATATTCAATGATGCAGCCTCTATTACCCTCTGGGGAAAATAATCCCAAAGATTAATCAAAAATTCCTCCTCATTTCTGAGGAGACTCCTTATATTTAAATGCCAGCTATATTACAGTTGAAATTCATATTAAGTTTGAGATTAACTTACTCCAATCATCAACAAGAACCTTAAAACCAATTACATAGGTTTGACAGGAGAGCTGGCTCAGGTTTATTGGCTAAATAGACTAAAAGGTATGGAAATCAACAAACGGTAGGAAATATTTAAGGAAGCAAATAATAGAAATACATTCTATTGAAAAATAAAGTCTTAGCAGAAAGGATTCATCCGTCCAACTGTAGGAGATGGAAGGAAGAGGCTTACAGAACGTCCTTACTTTAAATCATTTTAACAGCGTGGTTTTAAGGCTTGTATCCTTGCATTATGTTTGCAGTATCAGCTTTACAATGTTGTGTCACCCGCTTCATTCCCCCACTTTCTCCCCCTGACTTTGTTCCCTCTGGAATTGCTACCCTCTGTCCTTACCCCAGGCCTGCCTCCCAGCCTGCTTCCCAAAATGCTCTGTTTGCCACTAAAACCTTTTTCTTCATCAGACTGTCGTTCTGAACTCATGCTGAAGGCTTTCACTTATAGGCAGAAGCTTGTTGGTGCAGGGACTCTGAAGTTCCCAGCACTGTCTAGCTTCCGCATTTAGATAGAACCTAGTGAATCTCAAAAAACATAGGTGAACTTTTAAACAATTTATTTTTTTTAATATTGTATTTTACAAGAAGTAGACTTCTTTGATGTTTAGTTTTATTTTGCGTGTGTGCGAAGTCTCAACAAATAAATGAGACCAGATGGACCTCTTCGCATCAACCTAGGCGGTGGAAAAGACAACAGCAGAAACAGCCCTGTCGACCCTGCAAAGTCCTCCTTACGACATCTGGGGCTTAGTGCCAAAATTGGGAGAGCTGTCTCACAGACTAGTCAAGCAACAGCCCGACATAGTCATACTCAAGGAATAATACCTTACACACAATGTCCCGGACACCACCATCACCATCTTTGGATATGTCCTGCCCCATTGATATGACAGACCCAGCAGAGGTGGTGGCACAGTGATATACAGCCAGAAGGGTGTTGTTTGAGGTGTCCTCAACATTGACTCCAGACCCCATGAAGTCTCATGGCTTCAGGTTAAATATAGGGGAGGAAACCTCCTGCTCATTGCCACATACCATCGTCCCTCGGGTGATGAATTGGTACTCCTCCATGTTGAACAACACTTGGAGGAAGCACTGAGGGTAGCAAGGGCGTAAAATGTACTCTAGGTGGGGGATTTCAATGTCCGCCACCAAGAGTGGCTCGGCATTGAAAAAGTTTGTTTATGTATGTAGTTTACAGCAGACATAAATGCATCATACTCCTAGCCTAACTTATCATCTTAAATTGATTTCTGACATATTTATTAGCACAATCTAGATTGTTTAATAAATGCTGCCCAACAGCAAAATCACATGCAAAGTTGGAAATAATGATCTGAGACTTCTTGTCTCCTTATAGCAACATGTAATGTTACAAAGAATTGTAAGCCTGAGGATTGGGAGTATTTTAGACACCCTGCATTTCCAAAAGAGGTAACTACAGTGAATGTGCTGGCCATGATTTTTCCAAACTTACTTATATTATCAATAGGTCTCAGCAACTGAAAGTCCCCAAATGTTAGAACACTATTCAAGGCAGGAGGGAGTGAAAAAAAATCAAGATGTACTGACATCTGTCATCCGTAAATTGCTAGAATCTTTTTAAAATTCATTCTTGCAAATTGGGCATTGCTGGCTGGGCTGGCATTTATTTCTTATCCCTAGTTGCCCTTGAGAAGGTGGCAGTGAGCTGCCTTCTTGAACCACTGCAATCCATGTACTGTGGGTTAACCCACAGTGAGCCTGTGGAATTTCAGGATTTTGATCCAGTGACAGTGAAGGAATGGCGATATATTTCCAATCTGGATGGTGAATGGCTTTGAGGAGAGCTTGCAGGTGGTGGTGTTCCCATATATCTACTATTTTTGTCCTTCTAGATGGAAGTTGTTGTGAGTTTGGAAGGTACTGAAAAGGACCTTTGGTGAATTTCTGCAGTGCATCTTGTAAATAGTACACACTAATGCTACTGACCGTCAATGATGGAGGGAGTGGATATTTATAAACAGGTGCCAATCAAATGGTCTAGTTTGATCTGGATAAATTCATGTGTGTGACTGTAAAGCAAGGGGACTGGAGTACAAAAGAAAAGAAGTCTTGCCCCAGTTGTAAAAGGCCTTGGTAAGGCCACATTTGGAATACTGTGTGCAGCTTTGATCTCCACATTTAAGGAAGGATATATTTGAATTAGACGCAGCATAGCAAAGGTGCACTAGATTGATATCCAGGACGGTAGCATTAATCTATTATGAAAAACTGGGTAATTTGGGCTCATACTTCCAGCAGTTTAGAAGATGGAACAATAGAACTTGACCACTAGGAGCAGGAGAAGGCAATTCAGCCCCTCACGCCTGCTCAACCATTCAATACGATAAAAGCTGATCTCATTTCAGCATGAGCATCAGCTCCACCTTCCTGCCCATTCCCGGAAACCACTCATCACATTACTCATTAAAGATCAATCTCCTCCTTAAATGCATTCAATGTCTCGGCATCCAATGTATTCTAGGGGGTAGTGAATTCCACAGAATCAAGACACTTTTGAGAGAAGTAATTTCTCTTTGTCTCTGCATTAAATCTACTACCCATTATCCTAAAACTATGACCTCTCATTCTAGATTGCCCATGAGGAAATATTCTTTCTACATCTACTTTGTCAATCCTCTTTAGCATCTTACATACGTCTATTAGATCTCCACTCATCCTTCTAAACATTAGAGAATATAAGCCTAAACCGCCCAATCTCTCTTCATAAAAAGAATAAGTAGTGACCTCATTTAAACAGGGAAGTTTCTGTGGGCTGAGGGAAGAGGTGGTGGGAGGTTGTTTCTGCTGGTGACGGAATCTGAAACAAGAGGCACCAACTCAGACCAAGGGGATGATCAGTTAGGACTGAGGTGACAAGAAATTTCATGCAGAGGGTTGTGACTATTTAGAATTTTCTACACAATTTTCCCTTCCTCCTCCCACCAGCCTATGCACC